TAAATTTTATGGTACCTGGACATACTAAATTCAAGTGTGATGGTAGTTTTGGATTAATTAAAAAACTATATCGCAAAACAACTGTAGATTGTGTGGATCATATTGTTGAGGTTGTGAAAAGATCGAGCACAGCGAGATTAAACAAAGCTCAGTGCTACGAAAATGGAAAAGGTTTTCAATACTTAGATCTTAATTCTGTGTTGGGGATTTTCTTTAAAAAATTAAATGGTTTACAAAAGTATCAGCATTTTGTATTCGAAGCGGTTCGACCTGGAATTGTCAAAACCCAGCTGGTTGCTAATAGTACTTATACGGAATTTAATTTATTAAAAACCAGAAAAGCAAGTGTTTTTGAAATTACCAAAAAAATTAAATCTTTTTCTATTTTAGTTTTAACTCCGCCTCCCTTGGATTACAAAAGACAAGAATATCTTTACCATAATATCCGCCCATTTGTCAGAGATGAATTTAAAGACATTACTTGTCCAAGACCAACATATATATATACTGGCAATGAATAAATATTTAGACTAAAATCCTCGACATCATTTTAATACTTGCTAACTTCCTCACTGTCATTAAGTTTTCTGTCTAAATTTTCAATAAACCCTGTTAGCTTTTTCCTCTTTTAATTCTTAAAGCTTAAATAAAAAGAAATATTAAAATAATTATATACTTAATATAGTTAACTACCTTGCTATATGAGTATATTAAATAATAAATAAAAATAAAAAGTAATGGTAAACATCATAAATGAACAAGAAGAAAATAACAAACAACTATTAAACGAAATTGAAGCATTAAAAAAGCAATTAGCAGATAAAGAAAAAGAGAATGAACAATTAAAAAATCCAGGAGAAGTAAGTGAACAAGAAGAAGCTGAATTTAAACAGGAAGCATTGGAAAGAATTCACCAAATGTTGGCAGAGATGAGGAAAAGATTTCCTCATTGTAGCAAAAACATTGAACAAGATTTAAGAGAATTGATTAGCAAACCATTAAGAAAACAGTTTATGAATGTTTGTTTTCAACATAGCCTTATGAATGACTATAATTGGGAAGAAAAAGAAAACCTAGAAAAGGTTGTGGAGAGAATTATTATAGATCATTTTGAAAGCACTGGGTTGGCTACTGAATTATTAAAGGACTGAAAGAAATGAAATGAAAGGGCTTATATTTTTACTTGAATAAAAGAAGGAGGTGATATTTGAGGCAAGCCTGCTAAGGATATAATTCTTAAAGATATTATTGGAGGCAAAGATGAAAGGATTAAGGCCTTGGAAGCCAAACAAAAAGAGTTAGAAACACAAGTGGAAGAATTAGAAAATGAAGTGGAAATGGAGCGAGAAGAAGCAGAGAAAGCCTTAGAAGTAAGTAGATTAAAAAGATGAGAACCCAAAGTTAGTTTGTTTACAGAGACTATCAAAGC